ACTTTTGGGACCACGTACTCTCCTCCCCACAGCCTTGAACCTGAAGTCCTGCAATTCTCTTCCACCACAGGGACAGGTCTAGTTAGGGAACAGACATAAGGAAAGGCAGGAGAAAACAGGTCCCGGGGTCTTGCTCTGCCCAGCTCCCTCCCACATCTTTTTTTTTTTTCTGGTTTTATTTTATTTTACTTTATTTTTGAGATAGGGTCTCACTATGCAGGTGAGCTCTTCTTTATTGAGGTGGGTACCAGAAGTCGAACTCAGGACCTTGTGCTTGCCAGGAAGTTGTTGTGCCGCTGAGCTATATTCCTAGGCCTTACTGTGCAGTTCAGGCTGGCCTTGAACTCACTATGTAGCACAGCTTAGCCTTGAACTCACAGCAATTCTTCCTCAGCCTCTTGAGTGCTGAGATTACAGGTGTGAACTACCACACCTGGCTGGACTTGCTTTTTTGTTTTCTTTCTTTCTTTCTTTTTTTGTGTGTGTGTGTCTTTTTGAGGCAGGGTCTCACTATGCAGTTCAGGCTGGCCTTGAGCTCACTTTGCAGCCCAGGCTGGTCTTGAACTTGCAATGATCCTCCTGCCTCAGCCTCCCAAGTGCTGGGATTACAGGCATACGCCACCACTTTCTCCTCCTCCTCTTTCCCCTTCCCCTTCCCCTTCCCCTCCTCCTCTTCCACTCTTCCTCCTCCTCCTCTCCTCCTCCTCCTCTTCTTCTTCTTCTTTTTTTTGGTATCAGGAATTGAACTCAGAACCTTGCACTTGCCAAGCAGGCACTGTGTTACTGAGCTATATCCCCAGCCCTGGACTTCAAATTGTTGATGAGTAATAAATTCCCTAAACCACCCTGGGTTGGGTTCCCCATACCCTAGTGTAGCACAAAGGCATAGGCAAGGCGGGGGCGGGCTCCCAGGTGGCTGGCTTCCGGCTCCCTGCATCATCTTCCAGAAGGCCATGGGTGGCCTCCCCTGGCTCCACCACTGATGAATAGAAGCCAGGGCCCTTGTGCCCCTGGCCTCCACGTCCTGTGTACAATGCTGGCACCCCAGGGGCTGCAGGACTAGAATGAGAACCATCTGGGCTGCTGATGGGAGCCCCAAAGATGGATGCTGAGCCCCAAGCCAAGGGTGTCTCAGGGGGCTCCAGGCCCTGCTGGCTGACTGAGAAAGTCCCTGAAAATCTGTGAGTTACTGTAATACAGGAAGAGGGCACAAAGATTCCGGGGCTTTTGCAAAGGGAGCTGTTCCAGCTCAGGGAGGAGACCCAGACCCACCTCTCCCAGAGGACCTTTGAGAATGTTGCTGGAAGCAGCCGGAGCGGGGATGCTGGGAAAGGAGCACCGGGCTGGGAAGTGCCTGGATGCTGTGGGAAGAGGGCAGCGCTGAGTGTCCCGGGAGGAGCGGAGGGTGAGCGCTGGAATGCTCCTGACTGATCCTCTGTGCTGGAGCCTGTGGGAAACGTTGGCCCCAGCACTGGGATGGTTCTGGGGCTGGAAGAGGTAGATAGCTCAGCTGGAGCATCCCGGGAGATGGGGCAACTGTGGGAACCCCTAACTCTAGGTCCTGCGCAGACTCACTCTGCAGGTGTGGCTGAAGAGGGCCACGAGCCTGGGCGGCCTGGCACTGGAGCGGCCAAGTGTGGGTCCTGAGAGTGCGTGGCGAAGAGCTGGCTCCCGGGCGGCCTGGTGGGAGGACTGCGGAGGGGAGTGTAGAGTAGCCCGGAACGGTCAGCCAGAAGGCAGGGGCGCTGGGGGGTGGGGGACAGGAGGCTGAAGAGGGAGCCCTCCTAGCCTCAGATCTGCTGCAGCCAGATGCCTGGGGCCTGGCCTGGTCCCCTGGCCTTCTGCCTACCAGCTGCCACCACGCAGGGGAGGAATCTGCTTTGCATTATCCAAAGAGTGGCTTCTCCTAGGCATATGGTCTGCAGACCCCAGCCCAGAGCACCATGGGAGACGGCATCCCTTGCCCCCCAGCTCTGGCCCAGCCCTTCTTCCCTAGGAGCGTGGGTGCAGAGCCCCCGCGCTGTTCCATGGTGTCGCTCCCTGGGCTTGGCAAACATGGAGAATGAAAGAGCCGATCAGAGGCTCCAGGGTGGGGCGGGCACCTAGGGGATGGCGGAGGGTGCGCTGCCGAGAACACCAATGACACGGGAGGAAGCAGGGCAGTCCCCATCTGTCCTCCGAGACCCCAGCGCTCAGAGTGAATGAGTCCTTACAGCCCGTGGCGAGTGTGGCGGCCACCAGCCGTCTCGGCTACTGAGTCCTTGAAATGTGACAGGTCCAACATAAGGATAAAACATCCATAGCATTGAGATAACTGAACAGGACAAAAATATCTGAAGTATCTCAGTAATAATTTTAAAATATTGATTATGTGTTGAAATAATCCTTTAGATTAGGCTAAGTCTACTCCGAAGTTCACTTGTTGCTCTTCTACTCCTGTGATGTTGTTATGAATTTGCTTTAAATTGCACATATTTCCCTTGCACTAGCTCTCTGTCGGGCAGAGCCGCTTCGGAGCACATCCCTTCGCTTATCATGCATAATGCCATCAAATGGTCAAATGTCAGCTCCGAGGCAGGCAAGGTGCTAAGGAGCAGAGCTCATCTCTGGTTTCCTGGAGTGTGCAGTAATCAGATAATCATTCAAATGGTGCCTCATTACAAAGAGAGAGGAAATGGTCTGAAGCAAAGGAATGGAACAGGCTAGTTTCTGAAGCTAGTGTCTGGAAGCCTGACTTGGGCCCAGGGGTTTTTCCCAAGGAAGCGCTGGTCAGAGGCAGCTTGGCTGGGAAAGAGGGTGCCATACAGAGGGGCAGAAGGTGCAAATGTCCTGTGGCAGAGGGAATTGCACAGCTGGGTAATTGCAGGCTGGGTGGGGGGATTTCTGAGAGTGAGGAGAACAGCGGAAGGTGGCAGGGGTCACACCCAGCTCTCCAGTGCTGAGCAAGGATGGGAAGCTCTGGGGAAGAATTAGAGGAGGAGTAGAGGTTGGGCTAAGGAGGGGAAGAGGGTTTGTCTGCAGTGCAGGAGGCGGGGTGCAGAGGGACCTTTAAGGATTTGTGCCCCGCACCTGGGGAGTGCTGGGCCAGCAGCAGTCACTTCTGGCCTTCTGAAATGCTTCCTAAACTGTAACCTGGAGGCTGGGAGCATGGCTCCATGCTAGAGCTAAGGCTCCCAGTTCAATCCCCAGCACTAGAAAACAAACAAACCAACCCTAGCCCTATGGGCTGCGCCTCACAGCTTCCAACCCTCCAGGGTTCCCAGAGTCCTAAGGACGGACATTGTCCAGACCCCTCTGCCAGACTCCTCACAGGGCCTGACCCGTGCCTCCTGCAGCACCCTCCCTTCCCGCTGGCTTCCAGACCTGGAGACTCCCCAGGCCGGCTCCGCTCCCTCCCTTTCCAGGATGAGCCAGACTTCAGGCCACAAACACTCCTCCCCCAGCCTTTAAACTTACTGCTTAGGGCTCAGCTTCTGTGGCCCTTCCCTGACCTCTGGTGCCGGGAGCAGCTGGGGCCCACACACACCCTGATGTGGCAGTGCACACCACCTAGGGCCTCTCTGCTCTGTCTGCTCAGTCAAGAATGTAGTTGTGGGGCTGTGGGTGTAGCTCCGTGGTAGAGTGCTTGCCCGGCCTATGCAAGGCCCTGGACTTATTTCCCAGCACCATAAAAACAAACAAACAGTGTATACAGTTGCAAGCCAAGCATGGTGGCGCACACCTGTAATCTCAGCACTCAGGAGGCTGAGGCAGGAGGATCATTGAGAGTTCAAGGCCAGCCTGGAATACCTAGTGAAACCCTCTCAGAGACAAAACAACACAACACACACATACACACACCCCTGCAATCCAGCTCGGTGGTGCACACCTATAGTCCCAGCTATTCAGAAGCCTGAGACAGGATCACTGAGCCCAAGAGTTTGAGGCCAGTGTGGACAGCAACGAGACCCCAAATCCAAAGGGAGAGAGAAGGTGCTGTCGTGGAAGGTAGGATTGCCTCCCTCCACAGGACAGCTCCTACCTCTTCCTGCCAGTCAGGAGTCTGCTAAGGGCAGAGACGTTTCTTCCATCAGAGGAGGCAGTGGGTGCCCTGAGGCCAGTAGTTCTGATTAGGAACACCCTCACCTGGCGTGCTTGTGTGCGTGTGTGCGCGCGCGTGTGTGTGTGTGTGTGTGTGTGTGTGTGTGTGTGTGTGTGTTAGGGGAACAACAAAAAGCCTCCCTGCCTCCTGGTGTCTGACTCCCGGTGGCCTGGCTGGCCCATCTCCCTGGATGTGAAGTCAAGAAGGCGTCTCTGTTGCTCTTTCTGGAAGCCCAGGCCTCCCCCTGCCTTCCCCAGGGACAGAAGCCCTGGACCAGCCACCAGCAGAGGCTGAGCAGTTCTGTCACCTGCCCAGCTGGCCTCGGAGGAAGGGTGCGGCCCGGGGCCAGGAACCCTGCAGCCCCAGTAGCTCCCAGGCCAGGCCCGGCCAGGCTCCCCAGCCAGGCAAGCAGAAGCCCTGGCTGGGACCTGCCCACCAGAGCTGGAGGGCGGGGCCTGTGACTCCTGGCTGGCCAGCCAGCCTCCTGCTGGGCCATCTGGAGCCAGATTCTGTGTGTGCGCATGTGTGTGTATGTGTGTCAGGCCACGTGGGTGGCTGGGAGCTGTGGGGTCGTGACCTGGCTCTCTTAGCAAACCTCAGGGTCCCCCGTGGTCAGTTTCACTTCTGACATCTGGTCAAGTCCGCAGCTGGCCAGCTTCCCACAGGACCATTTCTACTTTCCCTCTCCAAGACCTGGGGGCCAAGGCCCCTTGCTCCTTCCCGCTCCCACTAAAATGAACCTTGAGGCTACACATGGGAACTTGCTGGATTTCTCTTACGACTTCCCAGTTCGGCGGACGGAAAAACAGGACAAGAGCTCACCGAGTTGGCAATCACACTCGGCGCTCCCCGTACACACGCAACCCCGAGCAACTCCACCGGGCGAGCATGCCCAGAAAACCGCTTTGCACTTTTTCTTTCTTTGCTATTTAATGTTCATCACTTATGTTCTATGTGTAGGCTTAGGAGGACCCAAGACATGATTACACAGGATGCAAGGGGAGGTGACAGGGACAGTGACAGGAGGTCTTGGAGCTCGCAGATCCCAGCTGCAGGGCCAAAAGGGTTCCTTCGCAGCCCAAGGGAGGCAGGCAGGGCCCCAGAACCAAACACATGCTAAAACATACTCGCAGTCCCCAGCCCCCTCCCCAGTGGTGGGGCAGGAAAATAAATACCCTCAGCCTGTCCCATGACCTAGGTGCTTGGGGGAGGGCCAGCAGGTGTGCTTCCTCCTGTCACAGACTGAGGTCACCAAGTGCCACCTAGTGCAACGCTCCTAGTCCCTAATGCAGGCTTGGGAGAGCCCTGGGCGGGGGAGGGGCGGCAGTCCGTGCACATCCTGCCCCGGCTCCTTCATGCTAAGTGGGGGAGGGGGCACACTCATTCCAACAGCAAGCAAAACAGCACAGGCCGAGGACGGGGCGAAAAGCCACTGAGATCCACGGCCCCTTTCTGGCCACGCTAAGGAACACATCCTCCATGGGGTCCTCTAAGCTTGGGAGAAACCCCCTAGAGGTGACCAGTCCAACTTCCTTCCCACTCGCTGTGTTCCCACACCACTGGCCTGCTTTTCTTCGCCGCGTCCTCTGGGCCCAGCCAAGGCCAGGCTGTGGGAAGGGGCGGGGAGCATTCCTCCACGCGGCCCCTGGAAGACGGACGCCGCCAGCTCCAGGCTCAGCAGTCCTTGGCCGGCCAAGGCCGGAGGGAAGGGAACAGCCCAGCCAAGCTCAGCTCCCAGCAAGGACCAGGCCTCAACCCAAGACAGGGGGCTCTGGGAAAAGAGCCCGAGTCTCACCCTGTGTGTGTGGGCGGGGCCTTGGTCTCTGGTCCCTAAGGCTGCTTCTAGGGGCTGGTGTTGGCTCCAGGTCTGTGCCAGGACAAGGGACACCAACATACCAGGGGACGAGCCCAAGGGGGACAGGCAGAGGTTGGCCGCCTCCCTTCCCACAAACACCGAACTTGACTCCCTGCAGGCAGGCCTGAGGGCCAGGCCTGGGGCAGGCAGCCCACCCCAAAGGGGCTACATCGGGGCGGATGGGTGCGGAAGAGCGGACTTGGCGTCAAGACATTTCCTGAAGGCCACCTGGACTCCTCCCCCAGCGCTCCGGAGACCTGGGGGCCCTCCTTCAGAGAGGAGGGTGCCAGGCTGCACGGCACAGCCCCATGGCTGGGTGGCTTTCGGGGAATCACTGCCGCTCTCTGGGCCTCACTGTCCTACATGTAAAAGGCAGGGGGGACAGGGTTCCATACCCACTCACAGCTCAGCCTGGCCTCCGATTTTTTATCTCAGGCCGGTAGGAAGAGTGAGGGGCCAAGGGAGGGTTTAGGCTACTACAGTGCCCCCTTGCCCCCCAAGTTCACAGTGTAGAGTCCATGGCTCTGGTTCCTCAGGACCTGATGAGTCTCTGGGGCCTCGGCACTGTCCCACACCATCCCTGGTGGCAGCCGCCCCCCAGCTGAGGTGGGAAGGGCTGCCCTCCTAGCAGTGGGTGGAGAAGGCGGGAGGTGACCGAGGGGCGGGGCAGGGGCGGGGAGGGCCACTTCTCTCACTGGAGCGGGATTGTGATCAGAAGCGAGGGGCCACACAGAGGTGTGACAGGACTGCCGTGTGGGGCCCGGGCTTGGCGGTCCTGCCCGGTGGAGCTCAGCTCTGCCGGGCTGGCCCACCCCAGGGGACATGGGCTCCATGGGGGTTGGCTGGAGCTTCAGTCGTCAGAATGTGGGGCAGGGCGGGGGCTGCCGGCCGGTCAGCTCACACGGGGGACGTGGCCGTGGACTCGCTGCACAGGCTCTCCACGATGTCGGCTCGCTGGATGCGGCGCAGGGCGGCCAGGAGGGCGTCGAGCGTGGCACTGTCCTGGGCGGCCCAGCTGGTGAGCAGGGCGCGGGTGGGGCAGGCCTCGTGGGTGAAGGAGTCTATGTGCTCGGGCTGGTAGCCCAGCTCGCCTGCCAGGTGCCGCCAGGTGTCCCCTGCTGAGCCGTTCAGCAGCTTCTCCACCTCCTCCCGCTTGGCTGGGGGCAAGCTGCTGTACAGGCCGCCGTCACCCTTGAGAGCTGCGGGAGCCCAGAGGAGGTCAGTCTCAGCCCTGCACCCTTCCTCCCCACAGCGGGCCGGGGCCTGGCACGAGACCCAAGGGCCGAGCCCTCTCCTCCCACTGTATAGGCCAGGGCTGGAGGAGGTCCCCGACTGGGGCAGGTCCCTGATGGGGGCAGGGCTGGGAGGGGACGCTGGCATGCTGTCTCCTCCTTACCCACTGCTCTGGCACCATCCCTGCCACCTAACCCCTCCTACTCCTCAGCAATTAATCACGGCAGAGGCAGAGACAGGACTCCTAGCCTCAGACAACTGCAGCAACTAAGTGTCCTGGAGCCAGGCTGCGGGCCACTAATTAGGATCCATACTTGGCCACTTGCTCCCCAGAAGTCCAGGGCAGGAGGCTAATTGCAGTTACTTTGGGCAGTAATTAGCCCCCAGGGGGGACAATTAGCTTGATGAGTCTGGATGCTCCAACTTGTAAAAGCTTCCATTTTCCGGGTCACCCGCTGGAAAGGACCCCACCTCCCCCTTCCCTCCCCCTCCCCCTCCCCCAGTGGCTCCCGCCCTGCTAAAAACTCAGTGCTTCCACAGCCCCGGTCCCTCTCGTAGTCTGATCTCAATCGGGACGGCCTCGTCCTGCCTGCCACTCACCCTGGCCCGAGGCCGTCTGCGTGTGGGGCTGCTGGTCATGCAGGCTTTGGCTGTCCACAGAGATCCCGCTGTCGCTGTGCAGTTTTTCGCCCTCAGGTGGGGGCGTCTGGTTCACGGGTCTGCTGTTGGCTCCTTGCTTGTTCTGCTTGCAGCTGTTCCACCTGGAGACGGGACAGGCCAGATCTTGGGGTGAGGGGCTGCGTCCAGGCCTGGGCTGCGGGATCCATGCTCTGATGTGTGGGCCAAGAGCACGGCAGGGGCCCCGCGCAATCTAAGGGCTTGTGACAACACTCAGGACAGCGCCGTGCGGTTAGGGGGCACTCAGTAAACATTCATGGAATGAGCGGTGCATAAATAAATAACTTCGCAGGAATTCTACTTCTCCCCATCTTCCCTTCCAAAATACTCCCACATGCGGACAGCTCTATACACAAGGATTTCCTCTGCAATTACAAGCAATAACAAAAACCAGAAAACAAACCAAATGCTCATCACAGGGGCACTGGCAGCATGAATGATCTTGTCTATCCCCATTATCAAACGAATGGCTGCAAAACTCAGACAGTTTGTGTCCTGAGGAAAGTGCTCCGAGCCAGAGTGAGTGCAAACACAGAGGAGATGGCGCACACCTGTAATCCCAGCACTCGGGAGGCTGAGACAGGAGGATCGTTGCGAGTTCGAGACCAGCCTGGGCTACAAAGTGAGCTCAAGGCCAGCCTGAACTGCATAGCAAGACCCTGTCTCAAAAAGACAAAGAAAAACAAAAACAAAAACACAGAGGAGAAATGTGTAGCGTGTGACCACGCTGAGGCTTCAAGAAAAACCTGCATGTCTACATCTGATCATAAAAAGCTTTATGTACATGCATTTATATAAAAAATGCATAGAAAATAATTGGGAAGGATCTGCTCCAACAGATTCCAATGAGGAATTTTCCTAAACAATCATGTATCACTTGGATGAGTTAAAATCATAAAGAATGGAAAATGCATTTAAAACTTTAAAATGCTCTCCTAGAGTTCTTTTACATTCCAGGCCCCTGGATCTGGATGCCACAGAAGCTGAATGGTGACACGGGAAGGGGAAGCAAGGCATGCACATCCATGACTGTGGGGTGAACAGGGATGGGAGATAAGGACACGAGACATGGGGGTCAGGGAGGAGCTCAACATGGGACTGAGTTAAAAGATGGTGTGTCACTAGGCATGGTGGCGCACGCCTGTAATCCCAGCACTCTGGGAAGCTGAGGCAGGAGAATCACAGGTTTGAGCCCAGACTGGGAAATTTGGCAAGACCCTGCCCCAAAATAAAAAGTAAAAAAAAAAAACAACAAAAAAAACCAAAAACACACAGCTCTGAATGTAGCTCAGTGGGAAGACCCTGGGTTTAATCCCTGGACCAGCAAAAAAAAGAGTGTTAGAGTTTTCAGGTTAAGTCCTTGAAGATGCACGTCCCCCCTCTTGTCCCACCACGCCCTCGCACCTCTTGAACACAATGTAGGCCACGAGGCCCACAACCACGGCAGCCAGGATGGAGCAGTAGATGGGGATGAGGTTGTCGGCGGTGCCTCGGGTCACTACCGGCTGGGAGCTGCTCATCACAGTGGTCACCACATCCGCCACGGTGCTGGCCACGAGGTCTTGTTCAGGAGGCGCCTCAGGCTCCTGGGTGCTGGGCGCCGTACTGTCTGTGCCCTCTGGGGGTGTGGACCGTGTGATCCAGCGGCCAGGGATCTCTGGGGAGAGAAGGGCTGCAGGAGTGAGGGTCGGCTGGCTGCTGCGCTTCTGAGACCCCATCCCTGCCTCGGTGCTCAGGAGCCCAACTGTTACCCATGGGGCCAGAGGCTGTGTGTGTGTGTGTGTGTGTGCGAGAGAGAGAGAGAGAGAGAGAGAGAGAGAGAGAGAGAGAGAGAGAGAGCGTGATGGTAGAAAAGAGCAGGGGCTGCAGCAAACAGGAGGGCACTTGGCCCCTGCCTGCCTCTGAGGCCCAGGCTCCAGGCGGGGGCTTTGGGTGCAGGGCACAGCTGGCATACATCCCTACCGCCCGTTCTTGGGCAGTGGCCAGACTCTGTTTCCCCACACAGCCTGGCTGGGCCACTGACAGACCGTGCCAGGTACCTCGAGGCCTCCTTGGCAGGAAGCTGGCTGCCAGGGAAGCTTATAAAGCAGGTAATGCCCACTGCTTCAGGGGAAGGAGATTGTATCCGGCCACCCACCTGGGCCCTCTCATGCCAGCTGGGTATTGCTGGCCTCCCTGGCAGGAGCCTGGGTGCTTCCTGGCACCTGTGGGTGGGATTTTCCATTCTGCCACCCAGCCAGGGGCAGTGCTAGGGGTTGTGGGCTCTGGATGGCCTGGGGGTACCTGCCTGGGCAAAGTTGCCTACCGAATCCATCCTAGCTTCCCACACCAGGGCAGGAAGGGAAAGCAGACAGGGCATGCCAATGGGGTGAAGAGGAGGGCACCTTGCTCCCCAGCGTGCCCAGCTAAATTAAGTCGAAGCTGCTCACCAGCCTTCTGGGCCTCCCAGGCTCAAGAAAGAGATGCCCACTGCGAGCACCTTCTGAGCTGTGGGCCTGGAATCCACATGGCTGGCAGTGGGGAGAGGTTGCTATCCACCACCCCACCCTACCCTTCCCCCATCTCAGCCCAAGGAGGAGATGCTGGCTACAGATACAGCTCTGTACAGCCTGAACCCCCCGGGCCCAGAGGCAGAAAAGGGGGGATGGAAGTAAACTCAGGCCATTGCAGAAGTGAGAGAACATACCAGATCGAAGACAGTGCTGACCATCCAGGGCACTTTCTCTCACCTCTCCAAGGCCCAAAATGGGGACGGGATGAGATCCAGATGTGACCACGGCACTAGCATTCCAACCCACTAAGCCCTTGGCAGGTCCTGACAGCCACTTCCGGAATGGGAGCTATCCAACTTCGGGTTGGGAGAAGGACCAGGCTACCCCTCCTGAACCTTTCTGGGGCCCGGGGGCCCTTCTGCCCTGGAGTGGCTGAGTCACCAAGCTGACACCTGAAATGTATACCCAGGAGAGGAGGGGGCAACCGAACCAGAATCAAATTCCACTTCCTGAAATGGACCCTCTGCCTCGAACTGAGAGTTAACCCTTAGAGGCCGGGGCTGAAAAGGGAACCGGGCAGGGATAACCACATGCCTTGGGTGCCCTTCTCCTTACACGTGGCTGGGAACGTGGACGCCCCTCCCCCGCCACCACCTTTCCTGCTCTCCCTGCGCCCCTGCCTAAGTGCCCCACGGCTGGCCCGGACTTGCTCCCGGAACGCTGCTGCCCACTTGTCTGCTAAGCTCCCTCCCGGCTCAGCCTGGCGCCTGATACCACTTGCCCATCTCCTGGCTCAGGGCAACCTCCGCAGAACCCCGCTGGGGTTAACGCCCCATTCCTCCTCCACCCTCTTCCCAGGCAGGAAGCCTCAAACGCACACCTGGCCTCAGCCCAGCCCCGAAGGCCTCCCCACCCCGGCGTTCACAGGACTTAGAGGGCAGACGGGAGGCTCCCCACGGCCAGGGATTTACCTCCCCTCCCGCTGGAGGCACACTGAAGGCAGGGGCCGTGCTGCCTGCGTGGTGGAGACTGTCTTCTCCCCTAGTGGGAACTAGGTGCGCGGACCCAGCCTCCCCTTCAGACTGGAGCCAAGCCGGTCTCTCCTGTCATACCAGGAGCTCCTGAAGGAGGCGCAGTGCGACCACTCAGAGTGAGGGGCGAAGGTGTTGGCAGCCTCCCCCGAGAGGGACATCACCCACCTGAGATCCGAGTGGTTCTGCCCTGGCTCCCAGGCACTTCCGCCTCCCCTCCCAGCACACCCAGCTCCTCACAGCCCATCTGCCCCGGAGCTGGAAGCCCCCCATGCAACCCCACCCTGTCCTCGGGCTTCTGGGCCCCAGGCCGGCACCCGCTTCTTTCTGCCTCAGATCCCCACCTCCCGCGATCTCAGTGTTCCCTGCTGCCTCATCCTTCACTAAACTGCCACAAGCACCATGGCCTGTCCCCAGGCGCACAGGTAAACAGGGGCCGCCCCACTGCGTGGTCTTTAACCCCAACAACCCCAAAACCAGATGGCTGGGGGGAAACTGAGCATCGGGGCTGGGAGAGACGTCACTCAGATGTGAGGGTGTGAATTCCATCCCAGGTCCTACGCCAAAAGCCACCACAGACCAGCCTTCGAGTGAAGGGGCCCCACTCCAGCCAGCCTTGGGCCGCGTCCCCGGGCAGAGAGCTTCCTCGGGTGGAAGATGCCCTGCTCTGCGCTCTGACCCCCAGTTTCACCTTCAGTGGCCGTGTGCTGCCATCCAAGCACCAGCTGGCGGGCACAGATGAACAAGGCCCTCAGTGTGGGTTAAATGTAGCAACTGCGCCCTGGAAGATTAGGCCGGCTCTGAACACGCAGCGCGAAGAAGGCAATGAAGCTAGAGGACCCCCGCGGGGGGCAGGATCAGAGGCCGCCACAAAGACCCACAAAGGACACTGGCTTGGCACGAAGTCAGAGAGCTGCCCGCAGGCTGGCTGGACCCCTGGCGACCCCCAGAGGGCGCCCTCGCCCGACTCCAGCCCCATGCGCGCGCCCGGAGCTCACCCTCGCACTCCGCGTCCGCCCAGCGCGTGCACTCGCGCAGCTGGCGCTCCGTGTCCTCGCACACGGTGCAGGGCAGGCACGGGTCCACGTGGTTCGCCTCGTCCGAGTAGGTGCCGTCCGGACACTCCTCGCACACGGTGTTCTGCTTGTCCTGGCATGAGTACACGAGGCCCGAGCCCGCCTCGCACACGCTGCACGCCTCGCAGCGGCCGGTCTCCTCGTCTTGGTAGTAGCCATAGGCGCAGCGGCACACGGCGTCGTCCGCCTCCACGCACGGCGCCGACATGCTCTGCAGGCCCACGCACTCGGTGCACGGCTTGCACGGCTCGGTGGCGCTCACCACGTCGGAGAACGTCACGCCTGCGGGCAGAGGGACCGGCTGGGAAGCAGGAGAGACTTGGCCACCTGCTCCTTGGGCACCTGCGGTGCAGGGGCTGGAGTCCCGCCCTGTGCATCGCTCGCCAGGGTGCTGACTTCTCTTTAAGAGTCCCATCCGCTTCCCTAGAGTCCCTGATCCCAGCTGTGGAAGCTGGTGGCAGCCGCCTGCCCGGGAAGAGGGTCAGGAACCCCGTCCCCCTGGCCCCAGAAGCGCGTGACCTGAGGCTTCGCTGGGAAGCTGGCTGGTGCCCGTGAATTCCTTAGTAGATCATTTTAGAGGGTTCCCAGCCCTGCACCCTGGTTCCCAGCATGATTAAGGAACAAACTGAGCGTGGTAACCACCAGCCCTCTCCGCGGGCCAGAGCTGGGCTGTGAACCCTGCCCAATCGGGTAGGGAGCCTCCTGCCTCAGCAGCTCTAGTCTCTCTCCGTGGGTGGGGCCTCAGGTGCCACAGCCGGAGTGGACCAGAGTTGGATGGCAGAATTTCCCACCCCGTGGCACTAGGGCTGGGCCCTGGAGGGTGAGGACAGACTCCAGGCTGGACAGTTGGGGCGCAGCAGGAGGGATCCAAGCGGGAAAGCAAGAAGGCCCGGCAGGGGTGGCCCTCTGGCACACTCTTGACTCTGCTTCCTTAGTGGTAAACTCGAAGGGGTGGGGGTAGGGTGCTCAGGGTCCTTTCCTGGTCCTGGAGGCCAGGAAGGGGCAGAGCCAGATCTTCCTGGTTCCTTCCAGCCTGGGTGGGACCCTTGGAGTTCAGGAGGACCTATCCTTGCTCTAAGGGCAAGAAGCGCATGGATTTGGGCACCTGGGGGTTCTTGGGAGTGGGGGTGGGGAGGCAAAGAAGGAAAGGCAGGGGGAACCCTAAGGGGCTGAGATTCAGGCAGGGAAGAGAAGAACCCAGGGAGGGAGAAGAACCTGGGGACACTCGGTTTGGAGCCCCTTCTGACAGAGGAGGCCTACTGCGCATTTCTTTTTCTCGGGAACAGGCAGATTCCTCTCTATTTCTGTCAGCTCTGAGCTGTGTGACTTTGTTTTAACTTTTCTGAGCTTTTTTTCTTTCTCTGTAAAATCAGGCATGTTCTCTGCACCCACAGGGTTGCGGTGAGGAATACACGCAGCTCAGCAGTAAAGCACTCAACACGCAGCAGGGATCCTATAAAGCTCAGGTCCCAGGGGCGGGCAGTGATAATGTACAGTGAACTTGGGTAGTGGGGACACAAACAGCCACGGCAGGATGTCCCACCTATACAGACAGCGGCATCCTATCGGGCAGGCCTGTGGTAGGGGCTGGGGCTGGTCACACTGGAGGGGAAGAGGGGATCCTGCTCCTTGCAAAACGCAAAAATTAGCAGCAAACTCCTGGGAGTGGGTTTTAGGTGGTGTGAAAAATAAGGGCTTTCTTGGCAGAGCATGAAGGCAGGAGCTTAATCAGTTTCCTTGTGGAAACGTTTTAAGGATAGAGAGAAAGTCCGCTGGGGTCTCTGGCCCATAAAGCGGGCTTGTAAAGACAGCCCCTTAACGCAGCTGGAGGGGGGAGGGGAGGGGGAGTGAGGGGGGAGAGGAGGGGGAGGGGAGGGGGAGGGAAGACATAGACCTGGGCTGTGCTGCCTGTGGCCTCTCCTCTCCTGCACACTCCCCTCTCCTGCGCGCCCCCCCATGCCCTGGCAGAAGGGCGTGGGTGCCCAGCCTAGGGGATTTAGGCCTTGGGCAGAGAGCCCGGGGCAGGAGGGTACATGATGAGACAGGCAGACTTTGGCATGTCCAGGACCAGCCATGCCCTGGGATGAAGATCTGTTGGGCCAGGGCCAGGGCCAGGGCCAGAACTGTGCCCTACAGCAGGGTGGCAAAGCCTTCCCACCAGCCCAGATGTCCTGCGGCAGGGAAGGGGGTTACAGGAACCATAGCCCAGACAGGAAGACAGCGTGTTCGGGGGACAGCAGGAGTTGGGAGTTGCCTGAAGAACAGCTAGACTGGGGGTGGTGGTGGCCCGTAGGGGGAGGGGACCGGGCTGCTGGGCAGGCACAGGTTCCAGCCCTGCTCCTTCCCCACCGCGGGGTTAAAGCGTGAGCAGGGCGTGGCTTCCTCTGGGTGTCCTGGTGGGCAATGAATGCCAGGTAAACGGCAGGATCTGACTGGCAGCAGTTGGGAAAAGACTCCTGACCCCAAAGAGCACAGAACTCAGACAAGACTGGGGCCAAGGGATCCAGACCTGCCCACCCCTCGGCCTTCCTCACCCCTGCAAGATGAGGTTCGCTCACTCACTCCCTTACCCCATGTCACCCCAAGGCAAGGACGTCCTCCTAGCTCTCCGGTCCCCACCGATGTGGCCTCAGGAAAGCTCTGCTTCCTGGCCCGGGGGGAGGGGCAGCCACGCCCTCCCAGGAACCCCCAAGGTCAGTCTCCAGGGCTGCGGGATGTGATCCTCCTGCCCCTCCCCCCAGACACACCCGGTTAGTTGCAGCCATTGATTTTGCAGCACAGGAGATATTTTTAGCTGGTCTTAGCATCAGCTTCTCTGCCACACTCTTCTACCAGCCTCTCTGCTCCGGGGGCTGGGAAGGGGCGCCCCTGGGGATCCCCCCTGCACCCTCAACCACTTTCAGCTTCTCCTCTCTGCCTCCTGTACTGGGACAGACCCACTTTTGGTGACCACACAGTGGCGGCCTCCTGGGCACGCTCTTCCCCTGCCCTCCGTCCCCTCTGCCCCCGCCTCCACCGGCCACGCTGCACTCACTGTCCAGGCAGGGCTCACACACAGTCTGGTTGGCTCCGCAGGGCTGGGCCACACCCTCACCCAGGTTGCAGGCCTTGCAGCACTCCCCGCCGTGGGTGTACAGGCCCGAGGGACACGCCTCCTTGGCACCTCCGAGGGACACCTAGGTGGGGGAGATCAGAGGGTCAGACTGGCAAGAGAAAGCGGGGGTGTCTTCCAAGCGGGATCAGGCGCCCCCTCCTAGTGCTGTCTATTGGAACCACCTGTGCTGGGATGAGCTCACCAGGGAGGCATTAGGCACATCAAAGCTGGCGGCAGGAAGCAGGCGGTGGGGGACAGTGGCCTTGACAGGCTGCTGGGGGGTGAGGGCAGAGCCTCGGATGCTAACCTTCTGCAGAGTTCACCTTGGGGTTAAGCCGCTCCTGGGATCCTGAGGATACACCAGATGGGGAAGGTCGCCTGAGACCCAGCGAGGGCCTTCCTTCCGGCGGGGCATCGAGAATGGTTGGACAGGTTGCAGCCTGCACAGGGCCCCCAGCCAAGGGGGCGCGCAGAGCTGAAATCTGGTCCAAGCTCCACTTGCTGAGCTTCACACCTGCAGGGCCGCCTTTACCCGGAGGAGGGAGGGGCCTTTCCCTAACAAAGGCCAGCAGGGTCCTTCTCCAGTCCTGAATTCCACACCTTAAATATCACTCGGAAGATGTCTGTGCCCAAGAGCAGAGGGCTGGGGCTTGAGTTCAAATCCTGACTCTGCACAGAGGCTCTGGCCTGCCCCGATTGCCTGCTCGGAGTTTTCATCTCTCCATAGTAGAGACGGCGACAGCTTGGTGCCCCGCAAATGACCAACGGATGGGCAAGAGTCTGGCGCCAAGACAGGGAGAACGGACGCCTGTTATCAATGAGACAGCAACTGCTCCCCCCACCCCCCGCAGCGCTGCCCCACCAGGGTTTGATTTCCAGGCACCAACCCTCCCCCGGCCCTGTCCTCCCATGTGGCCACTGGGAGCAGGGCTGGCACCAGGGATAAGGGGAGTCAAATTCCTGCCACTGAAGCGCCTTTGCTGGTGGATGGAACGATTTAGCACCAGATTCCCTAGAGGGAGTGGCTGCTGGAGGCTTGCTTTATATTTCTGTGCCTTAAAAAAAAAAAAAAAAAAAAAAACTTAATGTCTAATAAAACTCCAAAGCCTGCTTTGCCGGCTCCAGAGCCTGCAGCCTGCACTGGATGCAAACAAGCCGGGGCTCCTGAGTCCTAGGAGCAGAAGCGAGGTTTATAAGGTTGTTTTGGGCATTCCTCTGCTGCCAGGCTGGCACGAGCATGGCTATGGCATTCCTTTCCCTCCAGTCCTTTAAAACATCCTGCGGTCTCACCAGGGTTTGCCAGGATTTGGTGGGGAAGGAAACAGAGGAGGCGGGGAACACACAGGCTGACCACCTGGGGTCCCCCGAGCCCGGTGGGAGGGGGCACGCAGCCGAGGTGGGGAAACTTTCTCAAGTACCAGGGGTACAAGTGCTGGGAACATCTGCGGGCCAGAGGCCTTGAGGGGTGGAAGCAGATGCAAGCTTTCCTCTCAGAGCCGGATTCTGGAAGGGCCTGTTCTGATTTCTTTTCATCACTCAGGGCTCTGCTTAACCGGCATTTCCTCAAGCAAGTGGTCCTGTCAGCCCCACCTCCTCCCAGATTAGGTGGGGCTGCCTTGTTCCCCACTGCCGCCCCGCCCAACCTTTCCCAGACTCCTTCCCCAGGCTGCCAGCTCCCTGAGGGCAGCTACTGGGCCTGTCCTGGTCCTGACACTGTATCTGTCACACAGTAGGGACTGGTGTATGTATCTATAGGCTTTACAGACATGAAATTCTGTATGTTCTCCATGCACTCAGACTCGGGATGGATGGGTCTCCCCACAGCCAACGGCACACTGGATAATCACCCAGCATCCCCCCTAAACTGCTTCCCACTGTTCACCACGGTGGCCACGCCCATCTGACTCCAACTCACTATTTATACTAGAAATTTCTTTTTTTAAAATTCTGGCCCTGGTGATCAAACCCGGGGCCTCACACATGCTAGGAAAACATTCTACCACTGAGCTGCAACCCCAGCCCTTTTTTAAACTTTTATTTTGAGTCAGTAAAATAAAATCTTTTTATTTTATTTATTTTTTGCTATTTCAGGGCTTTCAAGGAACTAAGTGATAAGAACCTGGAGTGAATAGACTTTTAAGAATCTTTGTTTTGAAAGCTCGGCCTGGAGGGGCAGGCCTATAATCCCAGGCCGTGGGTTTGAGGCCATCCTGAACTACATAGGGAGACCTTGTCTCAAACAAACAAATAAACAAACAAAAAAACTGTTTTTAAAATTGGACAGAATAGAAAGCAAGTTGGAAATATTTGCAAATATAGGGAATGCTCCCACCAGCTCTCATTAAGTTGCCCAGTCTGTCCTGGAACTTGCAATCCTCCTGCCTCAGCTTCCAGGGTAGCTAGGATTACAGACACACACCACCATGACTATGACTGGCTTCCTGTCAGCTTTTTTTTTTTTTTTTTTAATAGTTTTTCTGTCCACCTTTCCTATCTAGGAGTATCAACTGTCACTTCTGGCTGCAAGCAGAGCTTGACCTGAAGCAGCCCCTCCCCCGCACCCTAACTTATTAGGCCTGATTGATCATATGCAGTACTTTGGGATCCCTCTTTCTCTTTTCCAGTGTCTTTTTCTGCACCTTGGTGTCCTGGCTGTGTTCCAGTTAACTGAGGTCAGTAGGGACCAAGGCTCCAGGTAGTCGAGGTAGTCTGTCTATGGTAGTCATGGGTAGTATGGTAGTTGTGGGCCAGCCCCTCTGCCAAAAGCCCCTGCTCCTCCTCCCCTTCCAGCCTTGCATTTGGAAAGGGGACCACATAATTAGCAACCATGTGTTTCTTGTTTGATGTCCCCTCTACCATAAAACCCCAGATCTGCTACTTAATAGTATGTGACTTTGAAGACACCACTTGATCTTCTGGACCCTCGGCTCTTCCATCTAAAACACTGGGCTGGGCATGACTACTGCCCAGGGTTTCTGTGGAATTGAGTGAAACAATGTATGCAAATATGTACATGTCTGCTGTACAGCTGGGGTTCAATAAATGCTACTTATCAGAGAAGTGGCTCGTTTTTAGGGAGTCTGAGCTGCTGACGCCAGATAGACTCTAGTAGGAGGGGAGAGTTTTTAGCTAAGCAGGGTGGGGTGACTATAGCTCAGGTCAGTGGCTCCAAAATCAGATCTTAAATGATCAGTGTATTAAAATGACAGACATATTTGCCTGTAATTTATATTTATTACACTTAGTCATTTCCAAGAGAATGATTTCCCATTTTCCAGAATGCTTACCATCTTTTTATTTTATTTATTTTTTGCTATTTCAGGGCTTTCAAGGAACTAAGTGATAAGAACCTGGAGTGAATAGACTTTTTAAGAATCTTTGTTTTGAAAGCTCGGCCTGCAGGGGCAGGCCTGTAATCCCAGGCCGTGGGTTTGAGGCCATCCTGAACTACATAGGGAGACCTTGTCTCAAACAAACAAACAAACAAACAAACAAAAAAAACTGTTTTTAAAATTGGACAGAATAGAAAGCAAGTTGGAAATATTTGCAAATATAGGGAATGCTCCCACCGGCTCGGTCCTGACCATCACACACCTTGGGCAAGGGCTTCTTAGGGAACGGGGTGGGGGGGGGGAGGAGTTTTCGGATGTCTGCAGTCTTCAGAGGTAGACGCAGACCCAGGCGAGGTCCTGGCAATGCTCCCCAGCCCTTTGGATCGAGGTTATCCTAAGGTCAAACCCGTCTGAAGACTCGGGGCGGGGCTCTGCGTGGGGAGAAGCGGCTGAGTTCTAAAAGTGCGGCTCCAAAGGCTAACTCCTAGGCTCTGTGAAGTTCAGGGCCACACCTCCTGTAGTGATCTAGAAGTTGGTTTAGGGAGGAGAAAGTAACGACTTAGCCAAACCTCCGGGATTCCAACGGTGGAGCTGCTACCTACTAGCTGGGGGAGCCTGCTGTTGTGTGTGTCTGGGAGTTCAGCTTCTTCAACTGTAAAACAGGTCTCGATAAATTCACCTTGCTGAGACCTCCTGGGGATTAAACAACGCCGGCGAAAGCACCTGTGGCAGCGCAAGGCACGTAGTAGGCACGCAACACATTCTGTCCCCTAGGGAGGCAGCGAGGCGCTGGAGCAGACTAGGCTGGCACAGAGGGGGGGACCCTTCCCTTCCCCCCGCGGCCGCCTCCCCACCTCCCACGCACCCACCCTCCACCCCAGCCTGCGGCTCGCGCCGCCCATTTGCTGCCGCTCCCTGCGTCCCTCTTAGGCGCATTAGCCGGCGCAGCGGCTCTGGTTACAGACGTCTGAATGACAAAGTGCCTCCATTACCGGCGCGACCGGCCAGCCGACCTGCCGGGCGCGCTCCGGTTTCAGCGCGCGGCGCGGCGGAGCAGGAAGAAACTCGGACGCCGCTCTGCGCTGCGCAGCGTCGGCCCGGGCGGAGCGGCCCCGCAGAAGCAGCGGCGAGAGCGCAGGGGCTGCGGCCCGCAGGTCTGCGCGGAGTTCCCCACCCCCAAGCTCCCAGCATCCCCACGCCCAGCTTCCCCGCTTCCTGGCCTCCTCTCTATTCTCGGACACCCTCTCCTGCCCAGTCCGGAGCCCACGCCCTCGCCCCGCTGCGATTCCCAATACTGGCCAATCCAGTCCCCTTTCCCCCGCTCTGTGGACTATCTCCCGCCCCAACCCGGGCCAAGAACCAGCTCCAACCAGCAAATGCGCCTGCAGTCACTCCCAGGTCCCCAGGCAAAGCTACAGGTACTGACAGCTCCAGGGAACCAGGCCTGAGCGTCCGCGATGGGGCCAGCGCCTGGAGAGGTCGCTGTCCACCGCCCCCATATTCCACCGCCGCCTGACTCCAGGGTGTCGACCCCAACCCCTTGTGAAACGCAGCTCCTAGGGAGGGCTGGGACTCCCGAGAGATGGAGGAGCACCTAGCTGAGAGTCAGGTGTGTGTGTGGGGGGGGTCCGGCCACGTCTCTGGCCCGACGCACTTGGGCGATCTTAGCCAGCCCTTTAAAAGTTCCCTGAGCCTCAGTCTCCTTACGGGTAAAATGGGGCCTTGAAGGTTCAACGCTCAGATGAAGGTGGCAGCGAGAGTGAGGGTGCTACTTTCATTGCTTTCCAGGCCTTGCACCAGGTCACAGCTCCTGGATATCTAGAACTACTCGAGGACTCCGTGCTGAGGCGACAACCTGCCGCCTGGCCGAGTCGGTGCCCGTGGGCGCGGTGGGTCAGGACCCGAGCCCCACGGAACGGAACGCTGGGCGGGACGCGCACCGGATCCGGACCGGGCCAGGCTGGGAAGCCCGGGGCGCGCGGCTGCGCTGGGCCCGGGTCCTGCTGCGGAGGGCCGTCCGGCGCCCGGCAGTGCCCCCTGCGGGCTGCTCGGGTCTGCACAGCCGCGACTGCGCGCGGCCGGGACCGTCTCCGCCTTGTGCGTCCCTGCGCTCCACACTCCGCGCCGTGACTGCGGCCAGGTGGGGCAGGGGACGCCGGCTCCCTCCCCGTGGCGCCGCCGCGCACAGTGTGAATGCACTGTCCGAGGAACCCACCCGGCTGGAGGACCCTGGAGGGTCGCAACCCGCCCTCCCTCCACGAAGCGCACGGATGCCCGGCCGCAATTCCCGGACTGGGCGAGGCCGCGAGGAAGGGCGCCGGGACGCGCGAGGGGAGCGTCGGTCCCGCGCGTTGTCTTCGCCTCGCTGTCCCCTCGTGGGCAGGCGGGGCCGCCACTTCAGGGTCTGCGCTCGCTTCTCACTCCGCTACCCATTTTGCTTCCACCTCTCTAGCTCGCTTGCCCCGTGCCCTCTTCTGTTCTTCTTAACCCACTTCTCCTCTCTTCAAGCCCCGTCTGCTCCCCAACGTCTCTTTCGACGCCCCTCCCCCCTATTGTCTGGCCGGTCCCCATTGTCCATGCCCGGTCCCCTCCGCCTGCGATCCCTCCAGCCTCCTCCCCTATTGTTCCATCGCTTGTCTTCGTCCCCGCCCCGGCCCCTCTCGGCCCCACATCTCCTGTCCTCATCTCGTTCTTCCTCCTTCCCTGGCCCGGGCTCCGTCCTATGCCTCCCCAGAGACGGTGATGCTGAGAGGAAAGTCCCCTTGGGATCCTGACATTCAGGTGGCTTCTTCCCAAGAGCCCAGGAGTCCAAGAGCCCCCTGCCCCCTTCCGCGAGCCCCTCCCCACATCGCCCCGCGGTGCCCGAGCCGGCATCCGTGCGCGGGTCCTGGCCGCATCCCCATCCCGGGACTGGGGTTCGCCTGTGCACTCTGAGGGGCCCGGACGCTTCCCTGTGGGTGCCGGCATCGGAGGTCCTCGCCCGCCACCCGCTCCCAGCATGTGGGACCCCGGCTCTCCGCTGTCTGCTGGGTGGTGGCCTGCGGCTCCCCTCGGGGTTCCGACCCGCCTGGACTCACCCCTAGGAGCAGCAGCAGCAGCAGGCGCAGCCCGTCCATGGCGCGGCCCGCAGC